ATGGGAAGGGTAAACAAAGGAGGAGGCTGCAATGCTTGGTAAGAAATGTACGCATTATCCTGCCCATGCAATTGTAACCCCTCAGTACAGTTTGTTCACAAATAAAATAAAATAAAATTTAAAAATAAATAAATTAATTAATTAATGTAGTGTCATATTAATTTATAGATATTTGTCGATAAACACAATGGTAGCATGATGGAACATGCCATCGCCCTAATGAGTGGTGTCTAGGAAAAACTCAATGTTTCCCCCCCCAATATGACTCATTTATCCATTTACAAAGTGATTACTTTATATTGTTAACTACAATGAAAAACATAGAAAGGAGTCAACTGGAATTTCAGGTGCTGTGTCCAATTTCTCTCACAATGTACAGTTGCTCTTATGTTTGTCCAGAGATTCTTCATTCATATCACATAAAACAAATATGTTTCCCTGAAGTTTAGTCCCATTAATGACTTTGCTTTTATGAAAAGGTATCGAACTTATGCTTTTATCATCTTCATACAATCAATCCTATTCTATGGACGAATATTTATGGCTATTTTCAAGAAAATATTTACATCTCCTACCCTTTACATAGTGTCTTTGAAATAATGAATGACACAATATACAATTTTTAAATTGTAATTCTCAAATATTAAATATACATGTATGATCAAGTGTTAGAAATGAAGTTCCTGGCATAAAGAATATTCTAGTAATGTGGAAAACTTACCAAGTTTATTTCTTGCTTCTTAATACAGGTACTGTGCTACTAAAAAGCTAGGCTCATCAAAACAAGTATTCAAGTCAGTCCTTGAGGCTATCAGAATAGGGAATGAGATTCTGTGTCACTCTTGTAGTCCAAAATTTCAGGGCTAGTTCAATATTACAGGTCTCCATGATTGACATTGGGGAATCAAATTTTACATGTTTAAGCTACTTTGAAATTACTTTGTTTTACAAACAACAAAACAAGTCTAAGGCTTATTTCTATCACTGACAAATCACTGCAACTGATATTTTCAATGTCTTTCTTTTTGAAAGAAAATTGCAACAGGTCAGACCTCCATCTCTCTGAATCAGCACAAAGGGACTGAGACTTGCATACCCAATGGTCAAAATGCCATGAATATTTAACATTGCAGAATTAGTTTCTAAGACAGAATTTAAAAATAGATAGAGAACACAGTCTGTCCAATAGAAGAAAAGAAAACATAACATCAGAAGGAGAACACTGTGGGCAGCTCTCATTTCAGGAAGAGTTTTGTGAAGGTGAGATATCTGAAGGTAGAGAACACGCTGGTGATGCTTGTGGAGAAGAAATAGCATGTAGCCACCGGCCCCACCCATGACACCCTGAAACATGGCACTGTGCATGGCCATTAGAATAAGGAGTAGCCATTTGGCTTTCTGACTTTCTGGTTGAAAATAACAATAATTGTCAGTTTTAGCAGCTTCTGATGTGTTTGCTCTGACGTTTGCGATGTGTTGAAATAAGTTGATGGGTTTCAAGGAAGTGAGGATCCAAAAGAAGAGAAACAGGGGAAGAATTTTTCTTGGAGTCTTTGGCTTAAATCTCCAGCAGAGAGAGCTTCTGGGACTGATGGTAATAGCCTGGACCACAGTGAGGAGAGTGGTGGTACAGATGGAAAATTCCCGGGCCACCCTCTGTAGAAAAACAACTACCTTACAGCCTATATCATCCAGCAAGTATCTCAAACCAAAAGCTGCTATTGCCATTGGTAATCCTTTGGAAAGAAGTATTATGGTGTTTGCAAAAGCCAAATGGATGAGAATAAGGTGTGTAGACTTCTTCTGAGTTCCTCTCCAAAATCTATATATAAAATTCACAAAAACAATGATGTTCCCTACAATGCCAATTGCAGTTAGAAAGAGGAAGAAGGTTCCCTTGACAACATTCAAAATCATTTCTGTATGATGAGAAGATGTTGGATCCAGAAAACACTTCTCTGAAGGGAATTAATCAGTAATGATGATATAACTGTGGGAAAGTATTTCATAACTTACAACACTTTAGAGTTTAAGAAATGAACATGATATATGTAATTATTCAAACACTGTTGGTACCAAAATGGTTTTTCTGTACAAAATAATTGTTTTCCCTTTCAAACTCTTTGTGAATTATTTTTATTATTTTCAAATCCCTTTTGGACTGCCAAAATCAAACATCCAAATTTAGAGTTTAGAATTCTTTTGAGCACTGTCAGGATCAGAATTTGATCCTGAACACAGGCACAAATTGATTCAGTAGTTCTAAAGTCATATTTCTAGGAAGTGCCCTCCTTCATATTTCTGTCCTCAGAGACCTTCCCCAAAGAAGAAGAAGAATGGAAATGCGTTGGCTCTCAGACCATCTCAACAACACCCTGTTTTAATCAAAGAAAAATTAGTGTTCCCAATGAAAATTTGCATGACATCATAATTCAAAGAATTATCAGGATTACTCACCTAGTAGCTGTGGTGCAGTGGAAACCTTGGTCAGTTCTCTGCCAAGCTGAGGCCTCCCAGATCCTATTTGTATCACACTGATGTGTGAAGCTCTTGCCTTTCATAAACTCCCAGGCTTTAATTTTCTCAGTTGTGTCCATGTCAGAGAGAAGCAAACTCTGTAGAATTTCAATCCCTGTAGTACAACTTTTCTTCTCCCTCTACAATTAGTACTTATCATTGTCTCAGAAGTCATATTTGGCTGAATTGAGACTTAATTATTTTAATAGTAGGAAGTTAAGTGGAAAAGTGAACAGCAACTCAAGTGTTCAGAGCTTGTGTCAAATGTCTTCAAACTTGTTTTCACCTGCTCCAATTTGCAAGCTTGGAGCAGATTGGGACTAGTTCCCAAGACAGAATAAGTCACTTTCTTTTCTATCTCAGTCATTCTTTAAACTGAATATAATAAAGCTGGTTACTATTGGGGACTCCATATTTGAGCAAGTCCTTACCAGTTCCTTGACAGGACAAGGGGTCTTGAGCCATGCCTCCAATGCAACATTTTTCTGGAAAATTGGAGATAGGGTCCACAGAGTTTTCTGTTGGCATACAACTGAGGCCCTCCAGATTCAAGTCTCCTAATTAGGGCAGAGATGTGAGGCACTGGTGCAAACTTTCTAAAATTTTTATTTGTACAAAGTAGGGGGGAAGTGTTTCTATTTTGACCTTTCCATTTGTGCATAAAATATGTTCCAATCAAACTAACTTGTCTTGTTTTTCTTCACCTGTTCAATTGATAAAGATTTAATAGCTGGAAACTTGCCTTGAGCTGTACAGCTGAGGAACAGCACCTTGGCCCAGAGTTCAAGCCCCACAACCCCCCCCAAAAAAAATAGTAACTGGGCGCTGGTTGCTCATGCTTGTAATCCTAGCACTAAGGAGGCTGAGATCTGAGGATCACATTTCAAAGCCAGCCCAGGCAGCAAAGAGATTCTTTCCTCCAATAAACCACCAGAAAATTGGAGGCGGTGCTGTGGCTCCAGTGGTAGAGTGCTAGCCTTGAGCTTAAGAACTCAAGGACAGTGCCCACACCCTGAGTTCAAGATCCATGACCGGGGAAAAAAAATCAAAATAAACAAAGAGCTAAAAATTAAAAAATTAAACAGGAAAAAATATTAAAAGTTAAAGAGCAAAAAATTAATGCAACAACAATTAATGCAATTAAAAATAGGCAAATAACTTGAACAGACAACTCTAAGAAGTACAAGTCATCAAGAGATAAATGAAGAAATGTTCAACATCCATATCCATAAAGGAAATGAAAATAAAAAACTACACTAAGATTCCATCTCACCAGACATAATGATTATTGTGAAAAACAAACAGCAATAAATACTGTCAGATTGAAGGAAAAAAGAATCTATTGACACCATGGTAGAATGCAACAATTATGGAAATATGTTTTCCTTTGCTCATATAATAACAACAAATGGGACTCAAAGATTCAATGAGATCATCCATTGTCTTTTCAAAAAACCAATTCTGAAAGTAAACTTCTGTTATTCATCTACACTGAAGAATAATGCTTCCATTATTTATTCTACTACCCTGTAGGAACATTGAGAATAAATATACACACACAGGACTGGAATTTTATCTAAAGGCAGCTCTTTTTCCCTACAAAGTTGGAGCAACACTGGGCTGGGCTGGGAGCCATATTCATGGTTATTGGTTCCCATTTTCTGTATCTTGAACATTAAAGAGACAAAAAAATACTGTGCCTAAACCAATAGCATGTAAATAGCATGTAATTTTCTTAATAGCATGTAAATTTTCCATTGTTTGATGTTGAGTAGGGAAATCCAGACCCAGATATTGAGCAAGTTTTACATGCTATTTATTAAAATATACAGAAATTGAAAAGTAGATATAATTAACTTTACCTGGGACAATGGGTAGCATTTCTTTGTTTTTTATAGTATTTTTTATGAAACTTATAAATTCTTTCCCCTCATGTTTATGTCTAGGCTATGTATATGCACATTAGGTGTTCGCATGTATGTGTATGTATAAAAGTTATTAAATTTTGTTGGCTTAACAAAACAGGGATGTTTTCCCCCAGGTCCTGAAACTCTCTTTAGAGCTGTTATCCTCATGGAAGACTTTGCCAAATTGTTCAGTATTTGCATAAAGGAAATAGCTTAACTTCACTGAGAACTTCCCCTGTCAAAAGATGTGAAGAGTGTATTTTTTTTTGTTGGTTGTGGGGCCTGAATTCTGAGTCTGGAGGCTGTCCCTCAGCTCTTCATCTCAAGGCTAGTGCTCTACCACTTGATCCACAGAGCCACTTCTGGCTCTTTTTGCTTATGTGGTGCTGAGGATTCAAACACAGGGCCTCATGCATGCAAGGCAAGCAGTCTACCACTGAGCCACCTTCTGAGCCCTGATTTTAGTTTTTTGAGTAATCTCCATAATGATTTCTTTAGTGATTATACTAATTCACATTCCCACCAACAAACTATGCAGAATCTTTTTTTCCTGCATGCTCATCAGCATTTATTGTTTGTTTTCATGGTAATAGTGATTCATACTATGGTGAAATAGAATCTCTGTATATTTATGACATGCATTTCTTTTACAACTCAAGATGTTGAACATTTTTCATGTGTATAGTTGCCATTTGTTGTTTTTTATGCTGTCCATTTATTTGCCTAAAAGTTAGACTATTTGATTTTTAACATTTAGATTTTTGGATTCATATATACTAGATATCTAGCGGTCTGGAGATAAGCAAAAAAAGACATTAACCGATACTTGAAATTATCTATTACATATGTTTTTTTTTTAATTTGCTGTGATCAATTAGGAAATTCTTGTGCTTATTATCTGTGCTTCTAGAATCCGGTTCATGAAGTCATTGACTTTCATATATCTTTTAAGCTTTTGCTGTTCAATTTTCAAAGTTTAAATGTCTCACCAAGGTCATATATGTATGTATGTATGTATGTATGTATGTATGTATGTATGTATGTATGTATTTTTCATCTGTAGTGAGGCTTGAACTCTGGGATTGGGCGCTGTTCCTGTGCTCTTCAGCTCAAGTAGAGTGCTCTACTGCTTAAGCCACAGCGTCCCTTCCAGTTTTGTAGTGGCTTATTAGAGATAAGAGTCTCATGGACTTTCCTGCCCAGTCCGGCTTTGAACTGTGATCCTCAGATCTCAGTGTCCTGAGTAGCTAGGACTAGAATATGAGCCGCCAGCTCCCGACAGGGATTTTATTTTTATTTTCTTCTTTGTTATTTTTTTTATTGTGAAAATACCGTCCAGCAAGGTTACAATTGCATGAGCAAGGTGATAAATACATTTCTTATCAAGCATTGTTGCCTCCTCCTCCTTTGTTTCCCCTTCCCATCCCTTCCCATCGTCCCCCCCTCCAAAGCCCCCTACTCCCTGCCACAAGGGCCAAAGTTGTAAAGGTTGTTTTTGATATAACGACTTGTACATCTCATTGTTGCAATGGGAGCACCTGAATCCCTATTTAAGCAATTTGTTTTTTCCCTTCCCTTTCACAAATTATACCAACATCAAATACAGTGAAAGAGGAGTTATACCATGGGGGAGGGACATACAAAGCAACAAAGAAATCATCTTATTAATATGTTAGAAACCATCACAAGAAAGAAAAACCATTTGAATCCTTATCTTGGGTTCATTTTGCTTAACAACTTATCTGACCGTTTCTGCTTGTCTCAGACATATACTAGTTATTGCAAATAAGGGAAACCATTAGACCTGTTTCTTTTGGCCTGGCTTACTTCACTTAATATAATTTACCAGCACAGCTATGTTTGTTGCAGCATTATTCACCATAGCTAAGATATGGAGCCAACCCAGATGCCCTTCAGTAGATGAATGGATGAAGAAAATGTGGTATCTATACACAATGGAATTCTATGCCTCCATCAGAAAGAATGGCATTGCCCCATTTGTTAGGAAATGGAAAGACTTGGGCTTTTATTTTTAAATAGCCTTTGTACAAGGTGAAGGACAGAGGTCTAATTTCAAACTCACACCTGTGGATAACCAGTTGTCCTGGAACAAAGTGTTAAAAAGACTGTCTTCTCCAACATAGGTTTTAGGGTCTTTTGTCAAAAACCAGGCAAATCTAGGTCTATGGGTACATTTCTCAACATTGTTCCCATCTCATTGTTTGTCTGCATGTCTGTTTGTGCCATTACCAAGCTTTTTTTCCTATTCAGTGTTAGTAGTCCAATTCTAAGTCAGCATTGCTGTTGGTCCTCAGGTTTGTTCTATTTGAGTTCTGTTGTGAATGCCACGTGACTTTTAAGACTGAGTTTTCTATTTCTATGAAAAATGACACTGATGTTTGGATGTGGATTGCAGTAAATGTAGATTAGTTTCAGTAATATAATCATTCCCTCCATATGACGACTGCCAATCCATGAGCATGGAAAGTCTTCATCTTCTATTGTCTTCTTCAAGTTCTTCCCACATGGTTGTGTAGTTAAAATTATATGAGACTTTCACCCCCTTCAATTTATTCCCAGGTATTTGGGTGTGCTACTGTGAGTGATATTGTTTTCCTTCCCTTTCTTAGCATGATTATTGATGATATTGAATAAGTACAGAGAGAACAGACATATTTGTCTCACTCTTGACAGTTTTCTACACTTAGTCAAATATTAGCTATAGGTATATTATATGCAATCATTATTATGTCACAGTACATCCTTTCCATTCCTGTTTTGTCACAGATTTTATCATGTAAAGACAATAAATTTCATTGGAGGAGTTTTTCTGTATTTATTGAGATGATTATGTGTTTTTATCCATTATTCTGTTTATGTGGTACATTATGTTTATGATTCCATATGTTTGAAAAATCTTTCCTTCACTAGAATGAAACCAGTTTGATCACACTGTATGGTATACAAAATTCATATATGAGCTACCGTTTATATGTAATACAAGGAAGTTATGTGATATTTCCATTCTTGTGCAGAGTGCACTTGGAACAAATCCAACCACCTCACCCCTTCTATTTTCCTCTCTCTATGAGCTTTTTGACATGCTGTTTTTCAAGTATTTTATTGACAATTTTCACTTATGGGCATGAGTGAGATTTTCTATACATTTGTGATTTCATTTCTATTTGATTTAATCATTTTCTGCTTCCTTCAATGATTCACTGATCATTCAAAAATGTGTTATTTCTTCTGCATGCTTTTGCATATTTCTCTTGCTGCTGAATTCCAGGTATACTCTATTGCAGTCTGATGAAATCCAGCAGCTCATACCTATGGTCCTAGATACTTGAGAGGAAGACTTTTGAAAAAGGGAGGTAGGATTTCCTAGGCAAATTTTAGTGAGTGTCAATCTCATTAAGCAAACTGGGGTTTGTGCTGCAGGTGTGCACTCACAGTTAAGTGGGTGGCCATATGTAAAAGGATGGCTATCTGAAGCTAGCTCACAAGGCGGGGTGGGGAGGGGAGGGAAGATAAGGAATGAAAGCTTTTATATAAAAATAAAAATAAAAAAGGGCTGAGATATGGCTTCAGTGATGGAAGGCCTGCCAAACAAATGTGAGGCTCTGACATAAAACTCCAGTGCTGATAAATATGATATGATATAGTTTTTTTTGTATCTGTGATGACTGGCTGTATGCCATAAATTTTGTTTATTTTGATAACATTCTATAAGCTGCTTAGAAACATGTGTCTTGTGGGTCTTTATGATAAAATATTCCACACATGTCTTTTAGGTTAATTTGAGTGACAGTACTGAAATCTATATCCTTACTCCTTGTTACTAAAGTTGTTGAAGTTTTCATTTCCAGATTTTCAATTTGTTATTTTTGCATTACTGTGAACTATCACTAAGAGGAGGGCTTCGTTTAATGTAGGTGTGGGGTGTCTGTTAGACAATGGAGTTTTGTCTAATATCCATGATTTTTTAAATGTTTTTTGTTTTGGATATTTTGTGGTTTGAACTTGGGGTCTCATGTTTGCTAACAGAGGCTTTACTACTAATCCGTGCCTGCTGCCCTTGTGCAAAACAGTGGTTTTTCCTTATGAAAGTCCAGAACCAATCTCTGTGTTTTTCTGTCTCTCTCTTTTCTCTATTCCTTTCCTCTCTCCCTTTCTTCCTCCCTTCCTCCTATTTTGGCTCCCTCCCTCTTTTCCCTCCCTCTTTCCCTTCATCCTTCCCTCCCTTCTTTCCTACCTTCCTACCTTCCTTCCTTCCTCTCATTCTCTCTTTCTTATCTTTCCTTCCTTCCTTCTTCCTTCCTTCCTTCCTTTCTCTCTTTCTTTCTTTCTTTTTCCTTCTTTCTTTCTCCATTCTGCATCATTTTGGAGCAGTTTGCCCTTTAAAGCTAAAACACTATATTACACCTACATCCAATAAAAAAAACTGTGGGACAAAACTGTTATTCAAAAGCATTAAAATGTAACTTACGATCTCAACATTCAGACTAATAAAGAATTTATTCTGAGAGGAAGTAAGAAAATTAGCATAACCAAGCTATTTCACTGTACTAACTTAGAAATATATGAAGTTTAAAATTTTTGTTTTATTTTTGAATGAGCATATATTCATAATACCAAGGGATTTCATTGTGGTGATTCCATACATGCACACTGCGTACTTCTATCCAGCTCACTCTGCCCATTTGGTTCTCATTCCTACCTGGTTTCTCCTCCCATCATCATGGTGTTGGGGAATTGTTTTCTGCCTCACTGGCTTTTATTTCTCCCCCTTTCTCAATACATATTAGCCTATGTCTGTGTGACATCCTTCACTCCCCTTCACTCCTCAGTATCCTTCCTTTTTCCTCTCTACCCAACCATTGTTCTACCCTAGATAGTCTTTTGTTTTTACTTGGGTACCATGGTTATGATTGTGATTACCATCATCATTGTAAGAGAAGCTGCTATATTTGATTTTTTTATTTAATGGATATTGTAAAGGTGATGTACGCAGGGGTTACAGTTACATAAATCAGGTAATGAGAACAAAAGAAAAGAACCTGGCCCTTGCACCCTGATGCTTCCACTTATACCTTCAAGGTGGCTTGTATTATGACATGTCCCACATGGTTGAAATAGGATCTTGATAACTTTTTTCCTGTCTGACCTCAGACCAGAGACTTCTCAATCTAGGTCTCTTGAGTAGCTAGCATTACAAGTGTGAGCCACTAGAGCCTGGCTATGTGTAACAATTTAACTCACATTTTTCTCTGTCTTCTCTATGTCTTAGCATTAGAATTTATGACTGTAGAAGTGACTTATGTTTCCTAATCTTAACTCCTTTTTTTTTTTTTTTGGTTGTGGGGCTTGAACTGTGGGATTGGGCGCTGTCCCTCAGCTCTTCAGCTGAAGGCTAGTGCTCTACCAGTTGAGCCATACCTCTGAGTGGTTTCTCAGAGGTAAGAGTCTCATAGGCTTTCCTGCTTTGCCTGGCTTTGAACTGTGATCCTCAGATCTCAGCCTCCTGAGTAGCTAGGATTACAGGCATGAGCCACCAGAGCTCTGGCTTCCTAATCTCAACTCTAATATCTGGAAGAAAATGTAATAAAACTCATTTAAGGAAGTGTCATACTCTTTTTCAGTAATTTTTGTTACCGTCACAAAATAGCACCTTATCCATTTAGAGACTTTCTTTAGTGCTAACCATCTCTTCTTCATGATTCAGAATTTGCTGTCAATTCTAATTTCTCTTCAGGGATTCCTATTCCTTCCTTTTGGAATGATAATGGGGACCTAGTTGGGGACCTATTATTTGACCTTATTTCCTGTAGCATAGATGAAGAAAAGCCTGTCACAGGAAAACTCTGAAACTAAGATAAACACCATACTGCACATCTCCAATCACACCATAAACCCTCAAACATCACAGAGTATGACATGATAATGTTACTAACACCAATTTTGTGTGGGTATAATGCAAGCCAAACACACAAATAGATACAGAGACAGAAAAAAACATGTAGATGAGGCATTCTTAACAATGGAGTGAAGAGTGTTGGGCATTTGAGTGCTGGTGTGTGAGGAAGATACATGTCAACAGCTGGCCTCAATCCCGACATTTTCCCAAACAAAAGACTTCAAGTATAAAAACGGCAGAAAATTTAGCAAAATAAGTATTACAGAAGTAATAAAAAGTATTTTTACTATTTAATACTGGGGCTGGGAAGGTGGCTCATGGGCTGGGAAGGTGGCTCAGTGGTAAAGTGCTTGTTTTGCATGCATGAGGCCCTGGGTTCGATTCCTCAGCACCACATAAGCAAAAAGAAAAAAAAAGCCGGAAGTGGTGCTGTGACTCAAGTGGTAGAGCCTTGAGCTGAAGAGCTGAGGGACAGCGGCCTGGCCCAGAGTTCAGGCCCCACGACCAGACCCAAAAAAAAATTAATATTGGACTCTAAATCTGTGTCCATCAGTGCCAATATTTTCTATTATGGATATGTGATGAGTGAAACAAGTTATGTATTCTTAAACATGACTTTTTTAAAAAGTGACTTTTGAGAGCTGAGCACCAGTGGCTCACACCTGAAGTGGATCACACTCAGTAGTAGTCTGAGTTCTAAGGGTGGTAGTTTAAAGCCAACCTGGGTATTAATGTCTGTGAGACTCATATATCCAACTAAACATGAAAAAACTGAAAGTGGAACTAGGGCTCAAGTGGTACAGCACTAGACATGAGCACAAAAGCGTAGGACAGCACCCAGGTACTTGTGTTCAAGCCCTAGGAATGGCATCCCTACCCCCCCACAAATGGTTGCCATAATATATTATAATGATAACTATGCATTCCATACAAGTATTTTTTCATTCCAAAAAAGAACAAAAAAAACCTGTGAGAAGGTATGAGAGGGGGAAACTTGTAGAAAGTAAAAGAAGGGGTGATATTGTTCAAAAAAAAGAAATGTACTCATCACCTCACTTATGAAATGCGAATTCCTCTTTAAGCACATTAATAGTAACAATAAACTTATTTTTGAAAACACAAAGTGCTTCACCACAATAATCAATCCCAGCTGTTTTGTCAGTTACTAAAGACAGACTGCTCATTGAGCAGTGTAAGAGCACTAGTCAGTGATATCTTTAGACAAATTTATATTTGTTTCATTTTCATTTATTTGTTTAACACGCATTGAATTCACAAAAAATCTAGAAACCTGTGATGAAATTCTATTGATTATGACCCCACTAACCTAATTTCTTTCAAAAGAGGGCCAGATTCTATTTCAGTCCCACAAACCAAACAAAAAAAAATAGAAAACATGAAATCTATGTCAGCAATAAAATCCATGATATGGAACTTTCATAAATGGGTATTCTATGCTAACATTGAGCCAGGTTTCCATCTCTGGAAATCAGTATAAAGGGACTGAGAATTACATAACCAACTTTCAGAAATGCATGAATATTTTGCATCATGGAATTACTCTCTAAGAAGGAACTTAAAAGTACAGAAAAAGCACATTCTGTCCAATGAAAGAAAAGAAAAAAAAGCATGAGAAGGAGAACACTGTGAGCAGCTTTCACCTCAGGAGAAGTTTTGTAGAGAAAATTGGAGTTCTGCAGGTAGAGAACACGCTGGTGGTGCTTGTGGAGAAGAAATACCATGTAACCACTGGCCACACTCATGATACCCTGAAACACAGCATCCCTTAAGACCATGAGGATAAGAAAAATCCATTTCATTATCAAATTGTCTGGTACAAAATAGCAATAGGTGTCACTTACACTAGGTTGTGATATGTTCATACTGCTGATATTTTTTATGTGGAATAGTAAGTTCATGCTTATCAAGGAATTGAGAATCCAAAAGAACAGCAATAGGAGAAGGATGTGCCATACAAATTGAAGCTTTAGCTTTCTCCACACAGAGTGTCTTGGGCTGATGGTGATGGCCTGGACCAGGGTGAGGAGACTGCTGGTGCAGATGGAAAGTCCTCGAGTCACTCTCTCTAGGTAAGCAGACATCACACAACCTATATCCTCTAAGAAGTTCTCCATGCCAAAGGCTGTACTGTTGTTGGTATCACTTTTGAAAGAAACATTATGATGTTAGTAAAAGCCAAGTGGATGAATACAATGTGTACAGATTTCTTCTTGGAACCTTTAAACATGTGCATATAATTCAAAAGTATAAAGGTGTTCCCTACAATGCCAAGTCCAGATATAGAAAGGAAGATGGTTGCCTTGAAAAAACTCAAAGACATAGCGTACTTTATAGGCAGAGAATCTTGGATCCAGCCAAAACCATATTTAAGAAACTGTTAGTAATGACAATAGCCATCTGCAAAAAAATCACATATTTTGCAGTGTAAAACACAGTCAAGTTCTATGATTGGTTTATCTTTTGTCCAAAGGATTCTATTTTGTTCTACATGACACTGTGTAGAAATGTTTCACTGTATCCTTCTTGAAAATTGTTTACCAATCTAAACTTTTCTATGTATGATTGAGTTTATAATAGCAAAAACCTATCTACTTCATTAAAGCCTGCAAATTTAACATATCCAAGTCAGAGTGACAGATTGAACTTCCAAGTCCATTAACTAGACCTTTACTGTTTGTTTTTTAAAAAAAATTTTCTACCTAGCGTATTCCCCACACACTGTTCTAGACACCTTGATTCATGCCACTCCCCCAAAGTTCTGAAAGACTATTGTTAAAACATTTCAATGCCTTTCAATAACTTCAACAGTAGCTCTTGTTTTGTTAAATATGCCTGGCCTACTTACATTTTGCTTCAAAGTTTAACTTTGATGCCTATACCTTAACAGTTTTTGTGTTTCCTCAAATGATTTTAAGGTTTTCACTGCTGACAAATATTCAGTGGATTTTGGGTCCACAATATTAGGTCAAACTGTGTTACCTTTTCAGCTATGATATAGCAATGAAAACTGAATCAGCCTATCGAGTTCTGGTCATCAAATGTCAGTGTCAGACCCCCTCTGCACAAGGTAGGAGGGGTGCCCTAAAAGAACTCTTATTAGTGCCTGAGGGTCATTAGGAGAGGATTATATTCTCATTTTGTGCTCATCAGGACACCTGAGAGAAGCCTGAATCATTTCTGCTTTTGTTGATATTTATCAAGGTAGTTCAGGGGAAGGGGATTACCTAGGTATTGTGTGCTGTTTTAAGCAGAGAGTTGGTTTTTTTTTTTTTTAGCAATACCTAACGTTGACTGTGTGTAGTTAAGTCCATTGGGGGCATTATTTGTTTGAAATGGTCAAACTCAAATAGGGTGTCATTCAAATGGTGGCATTTTACAGTTCCTGTGTGACCTGAGAAGTAAGAATGATCTCAACTGACTTTGCAAGCTGCTTTATCTGTGTCACTTTGCTATAAAGTTGCAAGTTCCCCATCAGACCAAGTTCACTTTTCCTCTTCAAGCCTAGATAGGATTTAATCTTTCACATCTAAGAGCTCTAATTTCATTTGCTACTTAGAAATTATGTAAAACGACTAATAGTTTTTATGAAATAAAATAAATGAAGTTATTTGCATTAATCCATGGAACGTTTGCATGTTTTGGAATGTTTTTCTGTCAGCCTTTCCTTTTCCTTTCCTTATAAATACTACAGGATTGCTTTAACTTAATTTGTCCTGAAGGTCTCTCACAACATGGTCTTCATAAAGGTTTATATTCAGCTTTGGTACCAGCTAGCTTTATGGTTGTAGTTATTGCCTTTCAATCCTTCTCCTAACGTTTGGAGCAATTTTGCCTATAAAAGTGACTCATGGGAATAACCCACTGTAAATATGAAGCATATAATGAAAGATGCAACAAGAATCAAAGGCAAAGAGCAACTATTACCACCAAATCTTAAAATATAAGAATGTAAAAATTATAATCAATGATTTTTGAGTGATTTTTGGGAAGAGGGGCTGGAAGTGAGGAATACCTGTATAAGGAATAGTGACCACTTGCCTACATTGTCTTGGCAAACCCAATTTAAAAAAAGACAGACTTGACAATAGGCTAAGTGGATAAATCCCTGTCTAGAATGAGCATCCAGTAGTTGAGGCAAATGAATGCCCACACCTGGACATTTTCTCAAATAAAAATAAGATGGTTGCCTATTGCTAACTACTACTAGAATAAAATTCATGTGAGCTCCCTCAAGCCTTGTCATTAACTCCCTGATTTAAGCAAAGAGGTTAACATTCAAGTTTCTGAGGGATATTTTTGTAGCACATATTTTGTAGTAAAATAAGAAGCTGTTAAATCTACTCACCATGTTAGCTGTGGTGAAGACAAACTCTAGCTTAGTCCTTCTGGCCAAGGGAGGCTTCCCAAGTCATATTTGTACCCTCAGTGTCTCTAGAGCGCTCAGAAACTAGCACTGACACTTCAGTTTTCACACTTGTCTCCCAGACAGGGAGGAGGAAACTCTGTAAAGTTTCAGTCCCTGAAGTACAACTTTTGTTCTCCCTCCACAATTACTACATTGATTGCCTCAAAAGTTGTAGCAGCTTAATTGTCATTTATTTATTCTAGATACAAAAGTGAGAAAGTATAACTTGAGAACAGGTACAGGATGGAAAAGTGAAGGAAGGGGTGATATTGTCCAAGAAAGAAATGTACTCATTACCTGACTTATGAAATGGTAACCCTTCTGTACAACACCTTAATAGTAACAATAAAATTGTATTTTTTAAAAATGGAAAATTGAACTACAGACTAGGTTTCTGTAATTAGAGTGTCTCACTTCTTCAGATCTGTCTTATTCGTCCTTAAGTTCCAACCTGTGAGAACTAGTTATTGAGATAGAGATTAGGCCACTTTCATTTCTTTCTCAAGGACTCTCGGAGTTTATGAAATTAATACAGAATGGTTAGTACTTGGAACTCCATTTTCTGAGCAAGTGCCAATCTTTTTACTCCGTAGGATAAGAATCACATAGTTCTATGTATACATGCACATAGGCACTTCAAGGTCTTAGCCTTATGTGGATTTTGATTCCTTATTTTTTCAACAGTAAATGGGACTCAGCAAATTAAGTGTGTTCAGTTCTGCCACCTTTCCAAAAAATCAACTGCAACACAGAATGTTAAATCACACTTCCATAATTTATCAATATCAACAATTGGTCCTATCTATTATTTAGTCTCTTGCGAAGAAGGACCTTTTTAGTTTGTGGTACAAAGTATTGTAATAAATGTGGACATAAAGGTGGGATTCAAGGTGAGAATATAGCATTGTTTGTTCCAGTAGTGAGAGACAAGCTCATGGTTACTGATTCTGGTCACTGAGATGATACACTATTATTTATGCATCTGTAGTATTCTCAGTTTTGTGATGTACTTGGTACTTTTCTCTATTTGAAGAAATATACAGATATGTGTTTTTCTTTCTCCTTTTTTGGTTTTCTTCTGGATGTTATGAGGCTTACACTCATGGCCTGGGCACTGTCCCTGAGATCTTTTGCTCTCAATTGCTTTGAGACATGGCTCTACTTCCATTTTTTGAATGTTTAAATGTAAATAAGAGTCTCAGAGATTTTTTTCTGTCTCAGCTGGCTTGGAACCAGGGATCTTCAGATCTCAGGCTCCTGAGTAGCTAGGATTACAGGCCTGAGGACCCAGTGCCCAGATTGTAATTTCTTTTTCTTCTCTTTTAAAAGAAACAATACTCAAATCAGATAGTGAAACGAATTTAAATTAAAGCTTGAAATCTCCAACATCCCTCAGCATTCTTTAGGTTTTCCCAATTTGTTTCAGCCCATTTCCTCAGCCAGAATTACCTCTATCTTCACCACTTCTAGCAACCTTGTTCTTTGTGATTCAAGTTAGTCTGTTCACAGGCATTTATGATTAAACTCATCATAATTATGCACCACTCATGCACATTTTATTCATTCTTATGATACAGCAAAATAGAGCTGAAAAATCTATGTCCCTTCTTTCCTGAGTCGTTTTTCCCCTAAAGAAGAAAACTTTCTTCAGTTTTAAGTGCTGGATTCTTTGGAAATCCATATGAAAACAAGTCAAATTTTCCCTTAGAAAGCCATGTTATGATACAGATAGATATATGGGGAAGCATCTTTGGATCTTAAGTGAGGAACAAAGTACCCCAGGAACAAGGAATAGTCTCTGTGACGTTTCATCCTGCAGTGTAGAAGAATCAGTAACACTGAGTAGAAATTTGGTACTACCAGTATTACTGAACAATCATATTTGTGAACAGACATATTTTCTCCCTTTCCATACAATTACATTAGTTGTGAATTAGGGGTCCGGACCAGATTTTCTGTTTGACTGCACTGGCCCCAAGTGAGAGCCTCTGTCACCTAAATGCGGGTTCCAGAGTGCGTCCTTGGACTACAGTAAGCACACAAGAACATTGACCAGGCTCATTGCTATTAGAGGCTATTAGTCCAGGTAGTTCCTTCTCAGCATGACCATACCTTTAACCCAGAAAGTTGTTTCCTTAGGGGGCATCAAGAAGCAGGGAAAAAAAGAATAATCATGCAACAATGTTTTTTCAATGGTCTCAACTATTTTATTAGTCATTAAAGCTACAATCATTCTGCCCCATACTACTCTTAAAGAATGTCTTCCCCAAGTTTTCGGTCACTAACATACAAAGTGGGAATCCCCACATCTCTCACAACTTTCCAACCCATTTTGTGAGGATCCTCTTAGTTAAGACACTGTTGGGATTCCAAGTCCATATCCTCTCTGAAATAAGAAACTCAGAAGAGTAACATATTATGAGGAAACTTTCTTGTGTTTAAAATAATGGAGAAATCAAGATGCTTCAATATGTGGACATTGAACAAGATATTTGCTGAAAGTAAACAAATGTATGATTTTAAGAAATGCACACAGGGCAAAGGTGGCTCACAACTGTAATCCTAGCCACTCAGGAGGCTGAGATCTGAGCATTGTAGTTCAAAGCCAGGTGGGGCAGGAAAAGTCATGAAGGTTATGAGACTCTGATTTCCAATTGATCACCAGGAAACTGGAAGAGGTGCTGTGGCTCAAGTGGTAGAGTGTTTACATTGAGCTGAGGAAAGTGCCTGGGCCCACAGTTCAAGCCCATGAAAGAAAGAAAGCAAGAAGGCAAGAAAGGAAGGAAGGAAGGAAGGATACAGAAACTTCAGTAGTATTTCAAAATGTTTGGTGAAATGTTAGCTTTTAAATGCAATGATTGTGCACCCAGTATTAACTGCAAGATGCTTTCTTTGTCTTGACTATATTCATGAGA